GGGACCTGCGGGGAGAGAGCGGTCAGAGAGGGGGAGGGGCTGGGGACACCCCGGGGACACTGAGGCAGGGGTGGGCGGGGCCTTGGGGACACTGAGGCAGGGGTGGGTGGGGCCTCGGGGACACTGAGGCACGGGTGGGTGGGGCCTCGGGGACACTGAGGCACGGGTGGGTGGAGTTCTGGGGACACTGAGGCAGGGGTGGGTGGCACCCCGGCGACACGGGGACACCCTCATGGAGGTGTGGGTTGGCACCCTGGGTGGGTGGCACCCTGGGGACACTGTGGAATGGGTGGGTGGCACCCTGGGGACACTGAGGCACGGGTGGGCAGAGCCTTGGGGACACTGAGGCAGGGGTGGGTGGCACCCTGGGGACACTGAGGCAGGGGTGGGTGGCACCCCGGGGACACTGAGGCAGGGGTGGGCGGCACCCTGGGGACACTGAGGCAGGGGTGGGTGGCACCCCGGGGACACTGAGGCAGGGGTGGGTGACACCCCGGGGACACTGAGGCAGGGGTGGGTGACACCCCGGGGACACTGAGGCAGGGGTGGGTGGCGCCCTGGGGACACTGAGGCAGGGGTGGGTGGAGTCCTGGGGACACTGAGGCAGGGGTGGGCGAAGCCTTGGGGACACTGAGGCACGGGTGGGTGACACCCTGGGGACACTGAGGCAGGGGTGGGCGGGGCCTTGGGGACACTGAGGCAGGGGTGGGTGGCACCCTGGGGACACTGAGGCACGGGTGGGTGGCACCCTGGGGACACTGAGGCAGGGGTGGGTGGCACCCCGGGGACACTGAGGCAGGGGTGGGTGACACCCCGGGGACACTGAGCAATGGGTGGGTGGCACCCCGGGGACACTGAGGCAGGGGTGGGCGGGGCCTTGGGGACACTGAGGCAGGGGTGGGTGGCACCCTGGGGACACTGAGGCAGGGTTTGGTGGAGTCCCGGGGACACTGAGGCAGGGGTGGGTGGCACCCCGGGGACACTGAGGAATGGGTGGGTGACACCCCGGGGACACTGAGGCAGGGTTTGGTGGAGTCCTGGGGACACTGAGGCAGGGGTGGGTGGCACCCTGGGGACACTGAGGAATGGGTGGGTGACACCCCGGGGACACTGAGGCAGGGGTGGGTGACACCCCGGGGACACTGAGGCAGGGGTGGGCGGGGCCTTGGGGACACTGAGGAATGGGTGGGTGGCACCCTGGGGACACTGAGGCAGGGGTGGGCAGAGCCTTGGGGACACTGAGGCAGGGGTGGGTGACACCCTGGGGACACTGAGGCAGGGGTGGGTGACACCCTGGGGACACTGAG